GAACTCGAAGCCAAACAGCAAGATCACAGCTCACCAACTCAAATCCCAGCAACTAAGACTAACCTGAGCACAACCAAGCCCCCACCTGAACAGAACATGCCTCCAACCAATCAGAACACGGCCAACCCCCCAACCAATCAGAACACAGCCAAGCCCCCACCCAATCAAGTCCCACCCCCACTAGCAGTTAAAAGGAAGAAGCAGCTGCAAACTCACATCACTCTGAGAAGCACAGAGCCGGAGACAGAAGCCTGAAGATGATGAATGAGACTTCATCGAAACGTTGCCTAGATACTTCGAATCTTACGTGGGAGAAAACCCGAACAACCAAAGATCCACATACAAATACCCGCGAGAACCTCAGAAAACATATATATATACACACACACACACACACACACATACATACATACATATATACATATACATATACATATACATATACATATACATATACATACATACATACATACATATATATATATAATATATATAACTTTAAAAGCACAACTACAATGACGTGGGAAAATACCTGAACAAAGCTGAATGCCATACACGTAAGTACCCGCGAAAACTTAAGAATATATATATATATACATACACACACACACACACACACATATACACATACACATACATATACATACACACACACACACACACACATATATATATATATATGTTTTCTGAGGTTCACACATACATACATACATACACACACATGCACATACATGTTGTGGCTCGGAGGTTTGAGCCTGTTTTGTCAGAGGTCGAGGACTTGGTAAATGAGGAAGAGGAGGATTTGGCTCTGAGGTTTGAGCCTGCTTTGTTAGAGGATTTGGAATTGCCTTCCTCCCCAGGACTTTCCTCCTCGGCAGGATCCTCCCCACTGATTGTGCCTCAGGTGTTGGCAGATAATCAGGAGAATGTATCAGAGCCTCTGACTGAGGATCAAGCCGAGGAATGCTGGCTTGATGTGAGGCAACGGCGCAGGCAAAGGTGTAAGTTCCAACGTAAAAGGAAAGGACGAATTAGAGACTGAGATGAGGGACTGACACGCCCCACAGAGAATAAAAGTGGGTGTGTTAGTTCTGGATTCTTGTTCGGGACAACGTGTTAATTTGTGAGAGCAGCTCCGGATTCTGTGCGTGTGGCAATAGCCTGTGATTTATGTTCTTGCTTTATTATCGGACTTGGCAGACAGCTTGTGTGAAACTGCCAAGGACTTGCCTGGCCAAAGGAATTTAACCCTGTCATTACTGGTCTTGTCTGCTTGTGTATATTCCTTTGGAAACTTAGACTTTTCACTTCGTTGGCACATAACACATACACACACACACACACACACACACACATATACATATACATACACAAACACACACATACACATACACACACACACAGAGAGAGAGAGAACTAGATAGATTAGGGGCCTTCAAACTTGACAGTTTTAAGACTTGTGGATTTCAACTCCCAAAATTCTTCCTCCAATCATGTTAGCTCAGGATTTCTGGGAATTGAAGTCCACAAGTCTTAAAACTTGCCAAGTTTGAAGACTGTTGTTCTATATACCATCCCAGATAAATGGTTGGCCAATCTTTTCTTGAAAACTTCCAGTGATGGAGCACCCACAACCAGTGGTGAGATTTAAAATGTTTTACTACCGCTTCTGTGGGCGAGGCTTGGTGGGTATGGCAGGGGAAGGAGATACTACAAAATCCCCATTCCCTCCCCACCCCACTAACCT